GATTCTCTAGGTACAGTGTAAGGCAGCACGAACTCTCTTAGAGTGCCGTAATTTCGTTTTGCTTTGTCCAATATCCCCCGTAAATAGTTCCATGCAGACAAGTTGTTGGGAGCGATGGAAATCTTCTCCTTCACATAGTTCAATTCCTTTCGAAGTACCGCTTCGCGATCCTCATCTCCAGTTCTTACGCCGGAGTCGAAGGCCACGAAGAATCGATGATGCCAAGCGGAGTTGTTGCGGACATCTTGGTCAAGCATAAGATTAACAAAAGGCATTTCAAACTGCCACAGATCGTCGTCGTCAAAATACGTCAGGAGCCATTGTCTATAGGCCCAAGTATGATAGTTCTTGGCATCAACGGCCAGTACTTTGGCGATGAACGTAAGTTCTCTTCCTGGCTTCTTCAGCTTCAGGGTGATGAGTTTCCGGTGGTGCCAAACTTGATAATGTTTTAGATGAAGGAGCGCTAGCTCATCCATCAATTTCATCTCTTCTTCCAAGGGATACTGTAGCTCCATCAATGTATCATACCGATACTGCCTGTTTGGCATATCATTAGTTATATCGAGTTGAAACAAGATCAGGCCTACCAGACAAAATAGTGTGCTGGATTCATACGGATGATATGCTCCGTAAGTTGGAGCACTCGTTCGGAATGTTCCCCAATAGCAGTGATACCGCGGAAATAATCCATAGCATCTTTATCTAGTATAAAGTTCCATATAAATCAGTTTAGCTTTTCATTAACGGATTGCGCGGAGCTTACAATCCGGAGGATAGAATATCGGGACTAGGGGGTTCGCTAGATCGCTCTGCTCGATCGGTGTGACATCCTTCCAATCCTCTCTAGTGGAGTAGAGTTGTGGTTTATTATCAGCCGCTGAGGTTTGTTCAGACATTGGTCGGGCGGGGAGTTCAAGGTTAATTTGCGACCCTGAAATAGATTTATGACGGATGGGCTCATGTAAATTTTATCCTCAAGAACTCAAAGCTCATTGTCAATACAATCACGATATATATTCACAGAAAATAGTCTATGAATTTGACATAATCCCTCCAAGTACAGCCTTCACTGTATCCAAATCTTGACCATCATCTTGATATCCAGTCATCCAATTAGAGACAGCAATTCTGATAGCCCCTCCTGGATAGCCCCCTGGTGTGACATACATCTTTTTCGTAGCGTTGATATCACGGATCAGAGCAGCGGACGCGCCGTTAGGCTGAGTATGCATAGAAGAGCGGTATACCTGTGGCACATTTGCTCCATCCTTTGGTCTAAATAGAACCACGTTAAGAGGAACAGATGTAACCCCTGATTTCAAGAGCCTCAGATTCAAAACTTCGAACCAACGGCCACCTTCCTCCGGGCTACTCATCCATGAGGCCACACTACGCGCAAACTGTATGTTCCGTTGCACAATGTCCCTATACCCTGACCTCCCCATGCTGATCACAGCACAGTATAAGGGCAGAGCAATGAACCGACGCGAGTTTTCCAGGTTCATGTGAAGAGGAGACGGTACGCTTTGTACCCATTCCAGGTTGGGAGGCGAGTCCGAGCTGGCTGAGGTTGCTAAGTAAGCCGGTGCAGATGGTCCCGCAAGTATGGAAGAGAGAAGTTCGAGCGATCGACAGTAAAAGATACCGCATGCGTATGGAACATTGAACCATTTGTGAGCTAGTCGCGTCAGTTAAAATGTTTAATTTATAAACTTGAGCCTACCATCCGTGGTGATACTGTCAGCAGAGGCGAGCTCCTCTCGTAGATGGGAATATTCGGGTGTAAGAGCGGCTAGTGCACCGAATGCTGTAGAAGAATTAGTGTTCGTCATCTATAAAGATAAAAATCCAAACCAGCATCTATATGCAGCCATGCATCATATTCAGTGCAAATTTCTCTGACCCCAGTCATGTCTGTAAAATCTCCCTGAGATTAATTAGCGAAGAAGGATAGCAAGGCATTATGTAATTCACCGTGTTGATTTCAGCATGGCTTATCACAACGATAGCTGCTACCTGTTTGCCTGAACTCTTGTAATCACCCAAAGTTTGCTTGAGAATGGTTGCAAAACTTCTGTTGCCCATCCCGGAATCAGTGATCAGACTGATGACATTACTACGGCCAATGCCGATGATAGCAGCCGCCTTTTCAATACTGGCATGGTGCCTATCCGTAAGAACCTTCACCTCCACATCAGCAGGATATCCGTGATCACTAGTGGAGTAGGAAGGATCTCTAAGTGCTTTTCGGATCGCAAAGTCTCGACCGCAGGCTTGGTATTGTTAGCCCAGAATATATACGGAAAGTGTTGTTCTTACCCAGTCCCAAAATGTTGCTTGCCGTAGCCCCAGTTGTCAGTGATCGTCCCGTGAAAGTATCACGCGGTATGCTTAATAAATCCAGTATCAGTTCGAGTGTTCGAAATTCCAGAGCGGTAGAGATGGTGTCGTTCTGCCAGTTGGTTCATGACTGTGCACGGCTGGCTCAGTGAACAGCTCACGGGTAGGTGGACCATGACATTTTGATCATATAAAGTAGTCAAGATATCGCCACACTTGATATTCATTCATGAGGGAGCGTGTCAAAGTCGGGGATGATCTTAACTGACTTGAGCAACAGGCAGCGATCCACCTGTTACAAATCCGAAAAATCTGAACAGCGTCAATGATCGGGGGATATTAATTTGATGCTACTTACCTCGGTCCACTATGCCCTCTCGCCAACCCTATCGATAATTCATCGATAACATGCTTGATTACTTCATTTGCTGGTAGCCCTTGCTCATCTGTACTACTGTGCAGCTTCCTTAAAGATGCTTGTATATTTTCTGGTTGAGCTGTGACTGGTTTATCTCTAAGGATTGCCGATATAGAATTGATTGTCGCGTCGGCTTCATAGGTAGCTTCGGGACCCGTGACACTTTTTTGAAGTAATGAAACAAGATGTTGCAGAATATCCATGAATCACGGCTTACGTCAGTGATTTGGAGTTGGAGGATGAACACTTTGGATTGGATGCCACTCCAAGTTGGAAGGAGGCAGGAAGAGCGACGAATTGTCACCTGGGGCAACTCACATAAACAATAAATCTTGAACTTGGATACACTAATATCACCAGTGAACACTTTTTGACCGTCAAGGTCTATGCGCAATCGATTTTGGTTCCTTCCAACAACCGTACTTGCATCACGATCACTCAATTGGCTCAGCAACGTTAAACACAGCGCACAACTGTATTCCAATATGGCTTGGCTCAGCAGTGGAGAAAGCAATGAAGAGCTGATTTCCAATATGAGGAGTGGAAAGTTGATTGAAAGTGACGTCGTCGCAGACGCAAGTCTAGCCCTTCTATGCCGAGTTGACAGTAACCAAACGTTATCTAGGCTATGAAGCGAGTAGACCGCGCAAATTATGTTCGAGTGGCACGATATGCTTATCAAGATGCGCCACAGTATGCATTTGTTGTATTTCACGAGTCAATCTGAAGAACGGCATGACCGCAGGTCTATCGGACACGGCGCAACCATATCGGCACCTCATATGGTAAATTGATGCTCACTTTATCGATTCAGTTCGATTCAACTGATGAATGTCATCAGCATGCCCATGCTTGCCAATATCTTCTCCCATGGATCAGACCAGACGCTCATATCCTGGATGTGGGAAGTGGCTCTGGTTATACAGCTGCCGTATTCCACCACTTGATCAAGATTAACTCGGTAGCTAGAGAAGATACTGGATATCAGTCTCCTTCTACAGTCCCATCTGGCGGTGTAGTGGGAATAGACCACATTCCGGCATTAGTAGAGTGGTCCATAGAAAATCTCAAAAAGGACGGGCTTGGTGATGCCATCTCCAAGGGCGAAATCGTCATGATTGCAGGAGATGGAAGAAAGGGATGGAAGAAGTACGCGCCCTACGATGTCATTCACGTCGGTGCTGCCGCCCCTCAAATCCCTCAAGAGTTAGTAGATCAACTCAAGTCGCCTGGGAGGTGAGATTTATCCGAGGCGTGCAGAGGACAATCAAATGGCTGATAATAGTTGCGATCGCCTAAACAGAATGTTCATCCCTGTCGGACCGGATGGGGGAGATCAAGACGTATGGACGGTGGATAAAGACGAATCCGGCAATCTGAAGAAGACGAGACTGTTTGGAGTTCGGGTGAGTATGCGTCTCATCTCCTTTCGACCTAACAGAGTGCGGTGTCCTCTCAAACGTGCTCTGGCAATGCCCGCCGACAATCTATCGATAGCAGAGCACTCGAGAGATACATTCCGAGCTGATAGATTCATTTGGTCCCTTCTCTCGCTGACCTTTTATCGCAGTACGTACCATTGACGGATCAGAGCGTGCAACTGGGGAGCCGCTATTGAATTGACGAACGGCGAATCTTCCATCTATGGAATAAGACTATGTAGTTTTATTGTATGATAGCGAACGTTTGCAGCCAGGGGCTCTCAGAGATCGATGGCCGCGTTTCTACGACACTTCCACAAAAGGAAAATTGAATTCTTCCGATGACGCATGAAAAACTCCTCAGTTCATCTTTTGATCTCTTCCTTACCGATATATAAGACCTGTATCTGCTGAAACTCCCTTTTGTCCTCAAACGCGACCATGGATCACAATTATCCGAGCGAATATTCGGCAGATGTTCAAGGCGAGACCAGCCAAGAGTCGACGCTAGCAGGCGTACGCGCCGTCATCTCTCAGCTCGAAGCTGATCACAAGTCCAAGGGTATCAAACTCTCTGGACGTATCATTCATGTAACACACTATCTCCCCATCGTAACCGCCCTCAAGCCCAAGTCCAATGGCGAGCCAGCTGCTCCGATCAGCCCTCCCAAAACCCCAGAGGCCGATATCGTCTCACTCGAAGCTGAAAAGGCACATAAATCAGGTATGTATTTTATTCGATCGATAATGCTGCAACGCTCGCTATTTCTACTATCGATGCCACTCTACCCAAAGCCGCCGGCAGGATCGCGTTTTCTGACGAACCTTTCCTTTCTCTGCTTTCGACAGTTACTGAGCAACCACCCGCTCAGGAAAGTGCCCCTGCACCTCCTATCTCTCCCGCAGGTTCTACTCATTCCCTTCCGGAAGCCACCTCTTCTTCGAAATGGCACCTAACCCCTCGCCGAGGCCACACTGCCATGGTTTCGGGTATCCGCTCACTCTGTGCAACCCACGAGCAAATCATTCTTGCCTGGACTGGTGACATTGAATCTGGTCAATCTGAAGGATCCCAGAAACAATTGGTCAAATCTGAAACCCTCTCCCAAGAGGACAAGAACGAGTTAGAGGCA